CCCCCCGTAACCCCCCCCCCAGCCCCCCCCCCCCCCCCCCCCCCAGTTTATGTACTGGGCATGACATCACATGGTATGGAATACCCCTTTGGCCAGTTTGGGTCAGCTGCCCTGGCTGTGTCCCCTCCCAACTCCTTGTGCCCCTCCAGCCTTCTTGCTGGCTGGGCATGAGAAGCTGAAAAATCCTTGACTTAGTCTAAACACTACTTAGCAACAACTGAAAACATCAGTGTGTTATCAACATTCTTCTCGTACTGAACTCAAAACATAGCACTGTACCAGCTACTAGGAAGACAATTAACTCTATCCCAGCCGAAACCAGGACAGTTTTACGGTTACCACCTTGGTAGGCACAGGCAGCACAACAGGACCCCACCTTGGGAATCCATGCAAGATGGTTATAGATTGAATAGCGAATCCCGCTTACAAAGTTCCGAAGCAGAAGCAACCACTTAAAGTTTCAACTGTTCGTCCTGCCAGCACATCAATACCCCAAATATATTCTTTAATTGGGGCAATTAACACCATCATGGTAAATGGAGTAGCATTTCCTATTGTAAAGGTTACCTTAGCTCAGAGGCCAGGGGTTGAATTTCCCCCTAATCCACAGATCTGTGATGTGGCTTCTTTATTATTAGTATTACTATGTAATACAGTAACTTCAGCTCCCATATCCACTAGAGCTAATACATGTAAAATCCCCCCAGACCGCCGGCTAACAAAATGAGGCTTCCAAAAAGTAAGCCTTGTTTTGGTGGGTTCGTTTGGAGGCGGTTGTTTCATGGGTTCTGTTTGCCGAGTGGACATCTGCAGAAGGCAGCTACACAGGCAGAAGGAGAAGACCAGCCAGGGGATGGAAAAGAGTCTCTTGAAAGTGGCAGTTTGGGACTTCTCTTTGCTTGCCGTGTTTGGAGCATTCACTGAACCACTGCATTACACGCAGTCTGACACGGACACTGTTGGAAAGTGAAAAAAAAGGAGGAAAACCCAGCCATTTAATCCAAAAGACAGTACTGGCACAAGAACAAGTGGATATGAACCGTGTGCAGATGCACAGCAGATTGCATACAAGAAACTACTAATTGCAGAACAGCAAAATTCCAAAGCAGCTTTCAAATGGCAGTAATTCAGAGTAAATTCGGGGAGCTTCAGATCGAGAGATCCTACAGCTAGCCTGGCTGTTGTAACAGGAATCTAACATGATTTTTATTCATCTGAAATGGAACTACTGAAACATTTGATTAGGAGTCCGGAAAAGCTGGTTTTTTTGATATCTGTTTGGTAGTGATAAGAACAGTGGCCTAAGGAAAGAGGAATAGCAAACGCAGCCCTTCATCTTACCTAGTTGCTCGTACTTTTGTCCATTTATGTAAAACACACGATTTTGATTTGGTAGGAGTTTCTACACGCTTCTCAGGTTCTACAGGACAGAAGTGAATTGAGCTCCATGGAGGAGAGTTTTTCTTGCCTGAAACAAATTCTAGAATTGGGTTCACTGTGATCCCACAAAAAAAGTGCTAACCATAATTATTTCTTTTCTTCTTAGCCTTTTATGGCTTACAAGCCTCTAACTGAATAGCAGTTAAGAGTTCTTCAGTGGATTGGCTTGTTTAGTTTCTCTAGCACTTTAAATTTAAACACGTAGGGGAAAAATGAGGAAATTGCTAAAAAAATACAGAAAAATTGAATGGAACGCTAAAGACATTGGTGCAATAAACAATAAAATCCAGAGCCAGAAACGTGAGATTAGAAACAATTGAGCTAAAAAAAGCCCCACAGGCATAACATGTCTGATTTTAGATTAAATTCCCCATTTGTCTTCTCGGGTTGTTTGCCCTTTTCAGCTCATAGTTCCACAAGCATTTTTCCCCTCTGTGGATAGACAGTTTCCACTTATGAGAACACAGAAGAACTTTAACACAGAGCTAAAGAAAAAGGCAAGTCTGTTGATTTCTGTCTGAATAGTTTAATTTAAAAACTTTGTACGCCATAGCAAGCTTGGGTATCTCAACATGATTTACAGAAAAAAGGGGTTTCACAGTATGTTGTCATTGTCTTCATACTGTCTCAGCTGTAATAGCTCTAGCCCACAAGAAAGTCCTACTTTTTAGACCTTCCAAAAGAGGGTTTGCTGCTAACATGCACCTGGGGAGAAGTATCTTCAAGATATTACACTCCTAACCTAACTGAGAATGCCCTGCATCCTTCTCTGATGAAAAAATGTGCTCTAAATGGCCCAGGAAATTTGAGTGTGAACAGAGGGAAATGTGGGGAAATGATCTGAGTGTGAGAGAAATTCTTCATCTCAGTCGTGAAAGCGTTTGCGCATAAATTGATACAAGAGAAGCCTACCACAGAAATGGAAAATCTTGCAGGCAAGAGAATTATGCACAAGTCCCTGTAAGCCCCCTGACTGGTTACTGAGGAAGCAGATGCTCCCTTTACTACTGTACTGCCTGACCCGGCACAAGAATCCCCATCTTCTCTTGCTATGAGGCTTTGAGACTATTACGCCTGAGTGAACTCAGGCCCTGGGTCACCACCGCTCAGGCCATACATAATCTCACTTCACTGGGGGAAGGCCCAGCTTTTCTGCACTCAGTGTCCTAAGCAGTTCTGCAGATTGCCCCTGACCTCGTGCAGTGGGTGGCCATTGTCTCGCGTATCCTCTCAAGGGCTTGACTATCTTCCAAACTGCTCTTGACTTAAACATATGCATTTCCAACTATGTTGTGGAAAAGAAAAAAACACCAGGTGGGTAGCAGGGAAAGTGCTGTGTGTGTCCTGGACTGCTCGCATTGCTGGTCACTGTTGTTTGCTTGGTATCCTTGTTCTGTAAAATAATGGCAGCTGATCTTGACCCACTTCTCTGTACGCCAGTGACTTCTTTGTACGCCAGCAGGGAATGACATTTCCAACTTGGTGTCACAGACACAGGAGTGGATTATTGTAAATACAGAAAGGCGTATTCCTGTGGAATCCCAAAGTTTCTCCTAAGGATCTTCAAGGTACTTTTAACTTTTTAATGTCAGTTTGATGTTTGCTTTCTCCATAGTGTCTGATTTGCCTCTCTGTGTGAATATGTTTTTATGTGGACTGTGTTTGAAGACCAATCCCCCTGTCTTGCCTGACCATAGATTTTCTTCCTGGCATGCAAAAGAAACTTAAGATCAGGAATTAAACAGCTGATACCATGGGCCACCTTTCTGGAGGCATCTTAAGGGGAACACTGCTAGCCCATCCTAGCAGAGATGAGAACAAACGATAGAC